ATCAAGCACTACTGAGGCTCTAGCAAAGAGAATCTGATAATTAAACCAAACTAGGTCAAGCTCTTCAGAGAAAAAAGTGGCTTACTCTTTGTGAGGGGGAGCTGGAACAGCCCTGTGAAGAGAAGCATCCTAATCCACTGGAAAAAATCTGAGAAGCCACTCTACTGCTGTGCTTCACAATTTCAGCACATTTCACGTTGGCACTAATATCAGGACTGCATGTTGCCTTGGAAATTCACTCCAAAAGCAAAAAAAGATGTCATATATCCTGCAGACAGGGATTTTAACTAAACCTCGCTACTGTTTTGCCTACAAGACTTCCGCCATTTTTAAATTAAGCAAGGATTAATAAAAGGTTTCTGCTGCAGCACTCTGCTGCATAAAGAAACGGGAATCAGGCCATCTCACTAACACCACCACCTTTGAGTGAACCACACAGGCCATAAAAGGGATTGTTACACTCAACCACAAGTTCTAGTCCCGACTTGTTTTTACAAAGCACAATCAACAGTACGTTTGAAAGACATTATCCACACTATCAGACTACCTATGATAAAAAACATTCACCTCCTTTTCAGACACCCTAGGTGTTAGCTCCTGGGGACAGAAAAGCCTTTTAAACTTTCACAAGGAACTCCATTTTATCTAACGCGAGCTTCTAGTCAGCACGGCGGCTCCGACATGTGCAAAGTCTTCTGGGAGTGCTGGGCACAGCAGGCAGGTAGCTGGAGACAGTAATGCCTGATGGCAGGTCAATCTGTATCACTGCGTGGCGAGTGCCAGAGCAGTCGATGACGATGAGTCAGTGATGACTGCTGGAGCTGACAAGCCCTCCTCAGTGCGGTTCTATTTAAAACTGCTCTCCAATGTAATTAAACAAAGAACCTTTTTTTACAAAATGATGCATGGAACTGTATAACACTGAGGCATATCCCAGCACAAGCTGTCCGCGCTGTCTAAACAGCCCTTGAAATGTAAAGGTCACAGACACAAATGTGGGAAGGACGTCACTGGCTCTTTTTTTGCACTCTCAGCTGACAGAGGAGGACTGAAATGTGCCTGCAGCCAGAACAGACAGACTAACCACAGTCATTCTCAGCTAATTATGTACATCCCAACAGAATGTCTGCTTAAAAACAGGCTCGCACAAGACTTTCGACTTCCTCGGTTAATTCACACATTGGAAAAATACCTGCTGCTTGGTGCATTGTGGGGTGGCGACTGGGAGAAGGGGATTTTGTTTCAGAGTTTTGGGAGGACAACCAAATAGTCTCCTAGGGCTATCTCAGCAAAGGTCCTCAGTCTAAGGAGAGAAGACTTATACCTGTTTTCAAACCAAATAAATTGCATGTCTACACATCCAAATCCAAATCAAAGCCAAAAAATGCTCTTTCAATTGGTCAGCTTCATGACTTTATCAGGTACCAAGTACAGAACAGGCTTTGGAAAAACCCTGTGACCCAAACCCTTGTTCCCTGACTGGCCTAACGTACACAAAAAGAAGACTTTCTGCATGGTCATATGAATTAAACTGCCTTTTTTAATCACTTTCACTGGATTTCATTTTTAATGCACAAGTCAAATACACCACCTTTAGGAAAGTAAACCAGTGGTCTAGTATATCATACTTCAGGCTCTGTTGGAAAGACAAAAAGCTACTAGCAATAGGAGAAAACTGAAGGGACTCTTATTTTTTTCAGCTTTGGACACAAGTCCCAGTGTCATCTACAAATGTCTGTATTATTTGCAGAAGTCCAGGCTCCTTTTAAGTATCACTGTTAAGCAACCACTAAAACATTCCTTTTTTACTTGTCACAGCTCCTTAAATGAAAACCTCATCAATGTGAAACACATTAAAAAACTGCAAAAGTGCAATGAAATATGAAGGCCAAAAAATGAACCATGATTTTACCTTTTAATATGTTCGCCATTTGAAGACCTTACTTCAATGGCTAACAATCCTATTAATGAATACAATCACATATTGTAGGAATAAAAATAAATTATTTTTAAAATGAAGACATACTAAGAAATACTCTACTTAAAAAGTGTTTAGAATTGGTTTTGCCAATCCAACACTCATTTGTGTACAAAGTACTGGAAACCAGTTTTATTCTAAGTTCTTCCTTTATGTTGCTGCCGTTCAGCTTTAGGCGAGTGTGACTGACCTCACACTCCGGGAAAGTTCAAACACCAGCCAGGGATTCAGAATGTTGCAAGATGACAAAGTGTGGAGAACATAAAACACAGCAACAAAAAAATAGCATGTAGAAATTATGATAAATGAGCCTCAATGCAGACTAAGGGGAAATATCTGTACTACATAAAATGATAAGATTTTGCATGGCCTTTCATACTGATGAATAAGAAATGCAAACGGCAAACAGTCTTTTTATCCACTGTCAATAAAATGCTAAAAGCAAGCCAAAACACCCGCATTACCAATCTCTACTGAAAAAGTCAAAAAAGACCCTGCATTCGATGCTTTCACAACAAAATAAATATAACCAGTTTCTGATCTCACCTTCTGAGGTCATGACAACTTGGCTATGACTTCTGCTTTTGCAGGTTAGAGTTTTTCTTTTACCTATACGGCTTTTGTGACCGTGCTGATCCTATTGGACCCTATTTATATGCCACTACTAAAAACTACTAAAAAATTCTCATTGTCTGTTTGTTGTTCACCTCATCAATGACTCTGAAATCTGGTCTTGCTCTCCACCTACTTAAAGTTTTCTCTTAAAAAAACACAACTACCATCCCGTTGCCAATTTGTTCTTGACAAAATTCTGGAATAGGCATTTACTGCAATCTCCTCTTACTTTTTTGAACCTTTTCACTCAGAGAACCAGCACAGAAATAACCCATGCTAATGTAGTGAAAGATTTGCTAATTGCCCATTGCTTCTGGGTCACTCCTTCTGGATTGGACTTCTGTCAATCATGTTTTCCTGCTGGACCACATGGAAAATTATCTAGTAACCATGGTATTTCCGTTTGTTCGTTTGACTGCTCGTTTGCTGTTTTACATCTGATGCTGTTTCTCTTAGTCAGGGTGTTCCAAAGGGTTCCATGCTGGGGACACAGACTTTACAGTTTCACAGCTAAGCTGACGACACTCAGATTTTCTTGCAGAACAAATCTCCTATTACTGCAGTTCCTGTAGGTGTAAATGTATAGTTAAGTTTTACTTTTGCTTTTACCGTGTCAATTTTCTGTACTTTTCATTTTCTTTCCCTCATCTTCTCTTATTGTAAGCTATGATGCAGTTTTTCAAGTTTCTTGAAATGTACTATGTATTGTATAATTGATCTGTTATAATGGTTCTTCAAATACTTAAAACTGGGAGATGACCTCATACCAACAATTTGAAGTGTTTCATTTTTGACTGATAGCATACGGAGAACACACTTGATTAACCTTCTGAAAAAAAGTTACCCTCTTGTCAGATATCCAGAATATAAATTCCGCCAAGGTCTTGTCAGGCATTGCAGGATGGGTGTTCAAAAAAATAGATTTTAAATCTGCTTTGATGGAGTAGGCACCATTTCAGCTCAAAAGCATTTCTAACACTGCCATCTGGATTTTAATTTTCCTTCTGCCACAGACCATAGCTTCAGTTTTTACTGAATGCCAACACCATCACAATAAGAGATACAGAAACGTAAACAGCTGCTAAAGCTCATTTGCATATGATTCACAAAATATGAAGTGTGTGCTCTGTCAAGTAATTCTACACCCTTAAATATGATGCGCACAACAAAATTATTTATAGGTCAAAGTGGACAAGATTTAGGATTATGGAAAGCTGCATGACAATGTATAAAGATGTTTCTTTTTATGGACTGAACTTGCTAGATTTCCCCAAAAAAACACCTGTTTTTATTTAATACCTTGAATTAATTACATTACAAAGCAATGTGCATCAGCTGGAGCATCTGTTAATTGTCCGATTACAGAACGCCCTTCAATTTTAGATTAGAAAAATAGGAGTTCCTCATTCTTGCCATGAAGAACTTGAAATCTGCCTTTGCCTAAGTGGATCAATAGCAGCCTGCAAACAGCACCAGAAAACCACTTAGCCTTGCAAGATAAGACAATGTACCTTTGGCACATTCCCTTTCTTTTCTCAAAACAAAAATCAAAAGCCGTCACTTGACTCCAGCACAGAAACATACCAGCTGAATGTCAATGGGGTCTTTGTAACATGTTCACAACCTACTCTGTCAGACATGTCTGAACGCATGGGCGCGAAAGGCAAAGTTAATAAAGGGGTAACCTCACAGACTGTAAACTGAAATCGTGTTTAGAAAAGATTACAAAACACTGACAAGCAGCAAAAAAACAACAAAAAACAAAGGCTCTGCCACCTCTGAAACCCATTCAGGCTATTTTTCAGAGCTATTCAGGAAAATGGCTTAGGAACTGTCTGGACAAGCAACAGTCTCCTTTTTGTGCATTTGAAATAGCTCTGCAGTGTACTTTTCATTAAGGACACGCACAACAATCAAATGCAATTTTTTAAAAGGGAAATTACGGAAGGCTGCACACAAGTCATTTAAGGCCAGGTTTATTAGCGTCTGCTCTCTGCAAAGCTTGCTCCGAGCTTTCCAATGGGGATTATCAGCACTTCATGTTACAAAAAGAAACAGCCCACTTTCATCTTTAATTTATCACAACTCCAGCCTCTTAATTCAAATGAGTGCTCAGACAGCTCTGAAGCGTCAAGATTTTCTTCCATCACAAACACTGCTACCATCTGCATTTTGGTGCAATTTCTGATCAATCGAGGGACGTAACGTGCACAATTGAAGGCGGGTGAATCTATCTGGGAATCGTTACTGCAGAAGCAGTCCGGAATGGGACGTGCTGTGCAGATGTCCACACGCCTGCAGGTTTCCATTTTGTTGCACCTCTAAAAACCTCAAGGAAGCCTCAGCCGAGACACAAGCGAACGTCGAGACCCGCCAGCCCCGCCCCGAGGAAGATGACGGCGCTTACCTTTTCAGTTTTGATCTTCTTCAGCGCCCTGCACTCGCCGTCCAGCTCCTCGGGTTCGGTTTTTATTGTCAAGGCCGGGGGCATGGCGGCCGCCTCGAGGGCGATACTCGCGAGCTGCTCGGCCGCGGCCAGCTCGGTGCTCTGCGGCCCGTCGAAGGGGGCCGTGCGGGTGGCCAGCACCAGGCCCGGCGCCCCCAGCTCCTTCTCCGCCGCCGCGGCCGCCCCGTCACTCTTCTCCTTCTTGCTCTTGCCCGGGCCGCCCTCCTTCTCCTTCTTGCCGCTGGGCACGGCGCGGGAGGCCTTGCCGCTCTTCTCGGGGCCCTTCCCCGCGCCGGGGGCGCCCGCGCCGGCCCCCCCCGCGCCGGCGGCCGCGGCCCCTCCCTCCCCCTGGGCGCGCCCCTGGGCGTCTCTCTTGGCCCCCTCGCCGGCGGAGGCCTTGCCGCCGTCTTTGGAGTTCTTGCTCCGCTTGGATTTGGATTTGCTCTCCTTGCCCTGGGGCGCGGGCACGGGGCTGACGAATTTGATGTTGTCGGGCAGGGCCGCCACCGCGCTGGGGGGCGCCGCCAGGCCCCCGCCTTCCTTGGTGCCCGACATCTCGAGTTTCTGCTGGTCCTTCTCTAGGTCGGCGTCGAGGTCGATAATCAGATTGCCCACGCCGATGTCCCACTCATCGCCGCTGTCGTAAGTGTCCACCGCATTCGAGTCCACACCTTTCCCGCCTGCAGTGCCACTGCTTAGGGACATCTTAGTGCCAGCGGCCCAGGCTTGCCACAGTCAGGTGCGACGCCTTCTAAGAGAACAGGGGAGGGGGGGAGGGGAAAGGGTCGCAGCTGCCTCAGGGTCTCGGTATCCCCTTCCCAGTTACCCACATTTTGCCCTGTGAATAAAAAAGGGAAAGGAGCGTTAATTTGGCTCATTCTTCTGTATACTACTGAAGGTGCAGTTGACACAAAATGCCCCGAAATAAATGAAAACCTGCCACAAAACGGCAGCTGCCACATTGCCAATCTCAGCTGGGGGCTAAAAAAAAAAAATCAGCCTCATGAAAGGACAGATGACAGGAATGGTTATGTAATTCCACAGCACACACAGAATTGTCAAAAAGTGCACAATGGTTTTGAATTGTGAAGGAGCGATTAGATAATGGGACACCTTTCGGAGAGACCATGCTGCAGTGGCGGAATACTGCGCTATCAATTACAAATCCCCTAACAAACGCTGGAGAAGAAGTGGGCCTTGGTGTGAAAGAACACATTATCACTTCGCACACAACCGTTTGCTTTGGCTCCAGACATCAAAAGTTGGAATGCACTAAACCACTTGCCATACTTTAAATACTGCCACAATTTTACTTTTTTATAAGCCTGTGTGGATTGCTCCGCAAAAAGGCAGGTTGTAAGGCTAGGCAGTATCCATTTAGATGAAAGATTTTTCACAATTATATTGCACGGCAATATACAATTGTATTCTGCAAAATAAAAATCATTGTTCGATTTAGGTGGCAAGGTACACACATGAATAAAAGACAAACTGCCTTAATATAAGCCCATACTATACCACTCAAACTTCAAGTTTTGTCCAACAAACCTAATCCATCTTTCTTCCATTTTGCCTGATGTCTGCATTTCGTACTGCTCAATAATTCAATAATTACTTATTTATTATTTATTCTCCTAAAAGCCCAATGGTTTCTCCTCAAGTTACACGTCAACACACTTTTAAGATGCTGAACAGAATTATGTCTCAGAATTTGTGATCTGTTTTTCAACATAACCACACACAGAATGGAAAAAATGACATGTTTTGGCTGGAGCATTGTTTTTCCTCAAAAAACAATCTCAGGCTCATGCTTATCCAATTATGTGTCATTTAGTCAGTTTGTAAAGGCACTGACCTTACAATAGGCATTTTTTCATTAAAGTTAGCCATTAAAACGAATATATTGGGTAACTAATTACAGGTACATACAGTGGATATAAAAAGTCTACACACCCATATTGAAATTGCAGGTTTTTGTGATGTAAAGCCAGAAATCAAGATAAATCATGACAGACATTTTTCCAGCTTAATTGTGATCTTGCAACTAACAAAATTCAAGAGAATTTTGGTCAAAGCATACATCACCTCCTCACTGCCTGACACCCTGGACCCACTGCAATTTGTGTATTGCCAGAACAGGTCAACAGAAGATGCTACTGCCACTGCCCTCCATACTGCCCTCTCACACCTGGATAAGAAAGGAACATGTGAGAATGCTGCTTACTGATAATAATAATAATAATAATAATAATAATAATTGTTTACACTTATATAGCGCTTTTCTGGACACTCCACTCAAAGCGCTTTACAGGTAAGGTAATAGGGACTCCCCTCCACCACCACCAGTGTGCAGCCCCACCTGGATGATGCAACGGCAGCCATAGTGCGCCAGAACACTCACCACACATCAGCTGTCAGTGGGGAGGAGAACAGAGTGATGAAGCCAATTCATAGAGGGGGATTACTAGGAGGCCATGATTGGTAAGGGCCAATGGGAAATTTGGCCAGGACGCCGGGGTTACACTCCTACTCTTTTCGAGAAACGCCCTGGGATGACGCCTTTAATGACCACAGAGATTCAGGACCTCGGTTTTACGTCTCATCCGAAGGACGGCGCATTTTTACAGTTTAGTGTCCCCGTTACTATACTGGGGCATTAGGACCCACATAGACTGCAGGGTGAGCGCCCCCTGCTGGCCCCACTAACCCCTCTTCCAGCAGCAACCTTAGTTTTTCCCAGGAGGTCTCCCATCCAGGTACTGACCAGGCTCACACCTGCTTATCTTCAGTGGGTTGCCAGTTGTGAGTTGCAGGGTGATATGGGTGCTGGCAGATCAGCATTCAATACCATAGTGCCCTCAAAGCTTGTCATCAAGCTCCAGGACCTGGGACTGAACACCTCCCTCTGTAACTGGATCCTGGACTTCTTGACAGAACGTCCACAGGTGGTGAGGGTGGGCACCAGCATATCCTCTACCCTGACTCTAAACACTGGAGCCCCCCAAGGCTGTGTGCTTAGCCCTGTCCTCTACTCCTTATTTACTCATGATTGTGTCACCAGGCATAACTCAAACTCCTTCATTAAGTTTGCGGAAGACACAACAGTCATCGGCCTGATCACAGATGGTGAAGAGTCTGCTTACAGGGAGGAGGTTGAAACCCTGGCAGCATGGTGCCTGGACAACAGCCTCTCTCTGAACATCAGTAAGACTAAGGAGATGATTGTGGACTATAGAAAATACCAGGCAGGAGATCACACACCTATCCACATCAATGGGACTGCAGTGGAGAGGGTCAGCAGCTTTAAGTTCCTGGGAGTTAACATCTCAGAGGACTTAACCTGGACCCACCACACCAACACCGTGGTCAAGACAGCACAGCAGCGCCTGTTCTTTCTCCGCAGGCTAAAGACGTTCGGGCATGCCATCACATATCCAGGCCAACTTCTACAGCTGCACTTTTGAGAGTATCCTGACTGATTGCATCACTGGCTGGTATGGGATCTGCTCCGCCCGGGATCACAAAGTACTGCAGAGGGTGGTGAAGTCAGCGCAGCTCATTACCGGCTGTGAGCTACCAAGCATCCAGGAGATCTGCTCAGCTAGATGTCTGAAGAAGGCCAGGTCCATTCTCAAGGACCCCAGTCATCCCAGTCACAAACTGTTTTCCCTCCTACCGTCTGGTAAACGGTACCGAAGCATTCGGTCCAAGTCCAACAGACTACAGAACAGCTTCTACCTCCAGGCAATAAGACTGCTAAACAGCCAACCTGCAGCTCCTTTAGCAAATCACCTGTAATGGCTACATGGACACACAGTTTTCACTGTATTCAGCATAACCACACTACTTGTATATATTGCATACACCATGGACACATAGCAGCTTTCTTATTTTAAACCTTATTTTCATAACCTCAATTTTGTGATTTTTGTGATTTCTGTGATTCTTGTGAGCTTGTGGAAAAGACATTTCATTGCCAGCAACTACTGCTGCACGCTGTATTGTTGTGCATTTGATAAGTAAACTTTGATTTGATTTTGATTTAAGAAAAACAAATAGATAATTACTAGGAAAAACAACTGAAATTAAAAAACCTACAACACCCTGGTTGCATAAGTGTGCACACCCTTTTATAATGGGGGCTGCGGAGTTAACCAATCACATTCAAAATCATGTCCAAAGGTAAGTAGCATACACCTGCCATCAATGAAAGTGATTCTGATTAACCCCACATAAAATCAGCTGTTCCTGTAAGATTTCCTTGAAACTTCTGTGGTTGCATCCTACTAGGATAGCCATGGCCCGCAAGGAGATGACAAAATATCTACGGGATCTTATTGTTGAAAGGTACCGATCAAGAGAGTGGTATAAAAGAATATCAAAGGCATTGGATGTACCATGGATCACTGTGAAGACTATCAATAAGTGGAGGAAATGTGGCACCACAAGGACATTGCCAAGATCAGGACAACCCTCCAAAGTTGATGACAGGACAAGGAGAAAACTTATCGGGGAGGCTACCAAGAGGCCTACAGCAACATTAAAGGGACTACAGGAATTTCTGGCAGGCACATATCTGGGGTATGGGGTATGATGGCAAGGCAGAAGCCATTTCACAGAAAAAAGAACATCCAAGCCCATCTAAAGTTTGCAAAAAATTACAATCACCCCAAACTATGTGAAAATGTCTTGTGGTCTGATGAGACAAAGGTTGAACTTTTGGGGCTTAATTCTAAAAGATATGTTTGGGGCAAACACAACACAGCTCACCATCCTAAGAACACCATTCCTACTGTGAAGCATGGTGGTGGCAGCATCATGCTTTGGGGCTGCTACTCTTCAGGACTCTAGTCAATATATATGGGATAATAACCAGCTCACAAAACATGCTGGCCTCTGTCAGAAAGCTGAAGATGAAGAGGAATTTCACCTTCCAACATAACAACCCAAAGCACACATCCAAGTCAACCAAGGAATGCCTTCAGAAAAGGAAGATCAAAGTCTTGGAATGGCCCAGTCAGAGCCCAGACCTCAATCCCATAGAAAACCTGTGGAATGACCTAAAGAGGGCTGGGCACAGGAGATCCCCTGGGAATTCGAAGGAGTTTGAACTTTCTTTGTAGGGAAGAGTGGGATAAAATTGCAATGTCCAGGTGTGCAAAGTTGATAGAGACTTGATAAAGATGGGGGGGAAAGGGTGCATACTTATGCAACCAGGGTGTTATAGGTTCTTTAATTTAAATTATTTTTCCTAATAATTATCTATTTGTTTTTCTCTTGAATTGTGTTGTTTGCAAGGTCACATTAAAGATGGAAAAATGTCTGGCATGATTTATCTTGATTTCTGGCTTTACATCACACAAACCTGCAATTTCAATAAAGGTGTGTAGACATTTTATATCCACTGTATATCTTTTTACAACCATGAATGAACATACAACATATGAAGTCATGTTGTGATTGTATATGGAAGAAGTCAAGAGAAGAATGTTGTCTCCCACCATCAAAGTTCTGAAAATGAAGTATCTGCTGGTCAACAAAATCTCCAAGCATCAGAGAAAACCTAGGACTCAAAGACATATGGAATCCATTTCCTCAAGAACCTGAAGGTGACGTCAGTGGTGGACAGAGACCAAAACAGACAGTCCTCTGAAATCATTGTCAATGACAAATCAAACTGTGAAACCATTGGATGGACGCTAATGCTTTAACACACGGTTTAACACAAACCCTAATTTAAAGGAGTTTTAATGAACAGGATTTTGCAAAACCTTCATTGTCGTACATTGCTATACCATTACATTTTAAGCTATCAAAATACAAATTCCCATGATCATA